CAGGGTCAGAGTCGGGGTCGGGGTCGGTGTCAGGGTCTGGGTCTGGGGTCGGTGTCAGGGTCAGGGTCAGGGTCGGTGTCAGGGTCTGGGGTCGGTGTCAGGGTCGGTGGTCAGGGTCAGGGTCGGGGTCAGGGTCAGGGTGTCAGGGTCAGGGTCGGGGTCAGGGTCGGTCAGGGTCAGGGTCGGGGTCAGTGTCAGGGTCTGGGGTCAGGGTCAGGGTCGGGGTCGGTGTCAGGGTCTGGGGTCGGGGTCAGTGTCAGTGTCAGGGTCGGGGTCAGGGTCTGGGGTCGGGGTCTGGGGTCAGTGTCAGGGTCGGGGTCAGGGTCTGGGTCAGGGTCGGGGTCGGTGTCAGGTCTGGGTCGGTGTCAGGGTCTGGGGTCAGGGTCAGGGTCAGGGTCAGGGTCGGGTGTCAGGGTCGGGGTCGGGGTCAGGTCGTCAGGTGGGGTCGGTGTCAGGGTCAGGGTCTGGGTCTGGGGTCAGGGTCAGGGTCGGTGTCAGGGTCAGGGTTGGGGTCGGGTCGGGGTCAGTGTCAGGGTCGGGGTCAGGGTCTGGGGTCAGGGTCAGAGTCGGGGTCGGTGTCAGGGTCTGGGGTCGGTGTCAGGGTCAGGGTCAGGGTCGGGGTCTGGGGTCGGGGTCAGGGTCGGTGTCAGGGTCAGGGTCGGGGTCAGAGGTCGTACCCAGCAGGTGCTTGAGCAGGGCCTGGTTCTGCTCCCAGATGCTGTTGAAGGTGGACCACCGCGAGCGCCCGTCGGGCAGAGGGTTCCTCCTGATCCACCCGCCGCACGAGAACTGATAAAAGTCCTGACACGGGTCCACGGTTCGGTCCATCGACTCCGACACCTGCGCCGCCACCGCCACGCACGCCCGCGTCACGCACAGAGACGAGCCTGAGGACACACCCGGACCCAGACCCGGACCCAGACCCAGACCGGGACCCAGGACCGGGGTCAGGGTCAGGACCAGGACTACAACTGGACTAAACCAGGTCTAAACCAGGTCTAAACCGGGACTAAACCAGGTCTAAATCGGGACTAAACCGGGTCTAAACCGGGACTAAACCGGGACTAAATCAGGACTACAACTGGACTAAACCAGGACTAAACTAAGGGTGTTTTCACACCGACAGTATTTGTTGCACCAAATGGTCCATTCGAACCAAAAGTGGTTAGTTCGGTTCGTTTGCGTTGGTGTGAAAGCTTCAATCGGACTCGGACCCGAACCAAATCAAGACCGAGACTCAAAAAAGAGGTGGTCTCGGTTCGCTTGAATCCACCAAATGACCAACTTTGGTGCGGTTCCTCTGGTGTGAACACGAACCCGGGTCCAAACCATAGACGTTATGGACAAACGGACTATTCCAAATGCATCATGGGAGAAACGCGTCTCCTCTGCCTGAAGTGACGCTGTACGACTCCAGCGCAGTAACAGGTTGTTGTCCAGACGCAGACGCGATTCATTTTCGAATCATTTTACCAACAATGGCCAATACAGAGAATGAAACACACGAAGATCAGAGCAAGAACCAGTGTGTGAACGTGTGGCTCCAGAGTGAGTCAAAGTTGGGGGTGTGTCCCCCTGTTCAGGACCTGCACACACAGAGACGACCCGGTGTCCCCCGTGATCACACAGCGACCAACATTTGTTATTTTAGGCTTTAATTAACCAAATAATTTCATGGCAATAGGCAATCGCCCATTCAATTGATACAACTTAAAAAAGTCCCTGTTTTTAGCCTAGTGTGAGAAATACAGTCGGACTAGATCCAAACCAGAGTCCAGAACCAGCGGGAGCGGCTCCGGTTCTGTCCGGGCTCAGAGGAGCTGGAGCGGGGAGCCTCGACCTGAGGAAGAACTTTCCCCGGGAAGAACCAAATGCACAGAGGACAAACGCTCAGAACAACATAGAACAAACCGAACTGGACTCACGCTTCTGTCCGGATGCTGCACCACCTCGGAACCAGCCACGATTCTGGAGCGCGGAGAATCGGAGCAGCACAGACCTGTAGTCCACAGCACATTCTCGCTTTCCCGCACGGAACCAGCGCGCAGACGACGGAACGTACCCGCTCGGACTCAGTCCATCAAGCACTGGTCTTTCTCGCCACCGTTTGGAACCAGCACATGGAGGACGGAGCCTCCGGACCATCTGACCAACGAACTGTAACAGACCAAGGACCAAGGACCAGACCCCAGCCCCGTCCTGAGGAGCTGTTGGCTGCTGCTGTTTCCCGAACTCTGGGCTGATGCGGTGAGTTTGTACAAAGTTCTACATGTTGCTGCTTTATGAGTTCATGGTGATAATTTGAGATGAGGACGACAGGCGGTTTTAACAGGAACATCGGTGTTGATAACTGGAGCATCGCTGTTTTACCGGGAAACAGAGACACGTGAATCGAACCAGTTTTGGTTCGTTTGCCGGTGTGAATTTTATTGCCTGGTGCGACCAAATAATCGAACTAGCGTGAAAACGACCTAAGACTGGAACAGGACTAAACCAGGAC